GTCCAATGAGATAAATTACAGAACTCTGGATACTATTGTAAAATGTCACTGACTGGAATCCTGAGCTTCCTGGCAACCGTGGTGAAAAGGAAAACGTGTTGTTTCTATTGTCCAATATGTTATTCCTCAACTTCTGTCATTCTTGAACAGCTGTCACATTTTTGCCTTTCCTGTGGTTCTAGCAAAGTTGTGACTTACTTGACATTTTTTCAAATCAATGCAATTATTTCATTTAATTACAAAATCTTAAACACTTGATATTTTTGTAAATGGGAAATCACCATCACTAACCACAAATGGAGAATAACGACACAGATAAGTACATATCATTAAAATTAAGAGTTCTCATCTGGGCCGGGCGCGGTGGCTCAAGCCTGTAATCCCAGTGCTTTGGGAGGCCGAGGTGGGTGGATCATGAGGTCAACAGATCAAGACCATCCTGGTCAACATGGTGAAACCCCATCTCTACTAAAAATTACAAAAAATTAGCTGGGCATGGTGGCGCGTGCCTGTAATCCCAGCTACTCAGGAGGCTGAGGCAGGAGAATTGCCTGAACCCAGGGGGCGGAGGTTGCGGTGAGCCGAGATCGTGCCATTGCACTCCAGCCTGGGTAACAGAGTGAAACTCCATCTCAAAAAAAAAAAAAAAAAAAAAAAGAATTATCATCTGTTAATATCACTAAAATAATCCAAAATTAGACTTACAATATGCCAGTTACATCATGGGATAATAAAATAATGCATATAAGGTCAATTGAAGACCATCTTACTTCCGGGCATAAAATTCAAGGAAACATTTACAGCAAAAGGCACAGAGATTCTAATCAAATGAACGTTTCTTATGAACCCCTGTAAAAGTTAAGGGCATAACATTAAATCTTGACACTGAATACTTTTCTGTGGGCAGCTAAGAGAACAGCAGACAATATGTTGTTTCTGATGATCTAACCCAGCAGTCTGCAAGCTTTTTCTGTTAAAGGGCCAGATATTAAGTAATTTATTCTTTGCAGGTTGCAACAACTCTATTCTGGTCTGGTCTACAGTCTTCGTTGCAGCAGCTCTATTCTGACTTTATACCAGGAAAGCAGCCTTAGGCAATCTGTAAACAAATAGTACATCTGTGTTTCTTTCTTCTTCTTCTTCTTCTTTTTTTTTTTTGAGAGGGAGTTTCTCTCTTGTTACCCAGGCTGGAGTGCAATGTCGTGATCTCGGCTCACCGCAACCTCCGCCTCCTGGGTTCAGGCAATTCTCCTGCCTCAGCCTCCTGAGTAGCTGGGATTACAGGCACGCACCACCATGCCCAGCTAATTTTTTTTGTATTTTTAGTAGAGATGGTGTTTCACCATGTTGACCAGGATGGTCTCCAACTCTTGACCTCGTGATCCACCCATCTCGGCCTCCCAAAGGCTGGGATTACAGGCTTGAGCCAGCGCGCCCGGCCCTCTTTTTTCTTTTGAGATGCAGTCTTACTCTTGTCATATAGGCTAGAATGCAGTGGTGAGATCTTGGCTCACTGCAACCTCCGCCTCCCGGGTTCAAATGATTCTTCTGCCTCAGCCTCCTGAGTAGCTGGGATTATAGGCGCCTACCACCATGCCCGGCTAACTTAATTTTTATATTTTAGTAGAGATGGGGTTTCACCATGTTGGCCAGGTTGGTCTCAAACTCCTGACCTCAGATGATCTGCCCATCTCTGCCTCCCAAAGTGCTGGGACTACAGGCATGAGCCATTGTGTCGGGCCTGTGTTTCAATAAAACTTAATTTATGGATGATGACATTTGAATTTCATATAATTTTCACAGTGTAAAATATTATTCTTTTTTTGATATTTTCAACCATTTAATAATGTAAAAACCAGCGTTGGCTTGTGGATTGTGCAAAAACAGGTAGTGGGCTGCCTGTGGCCCCTGGGCCAGATTTTCCTGAATCCTCAGTCAGGGCTCAGAGAAGCTAGTGGAATGGAGAATGGGTGTGTGCTCAACACCGGTCTCCTCTCTCTGCCCCCAGTGCTGAAAGGCTTCTACAGGGTGGCGGCAAGGTCATATAAGCGAGTGGCAGCGGAGTTAGGACTAGAACTCAGAATTTTCTTTTTTGGATTCTGTGCTCTTCCTGCTGCTGTCTCCCAGGTGGAGGAAGCGTTTACTCTGTGCCTGGCTGATTTGGATAGAACCTCAATGAATCTCTTTGTAAATAGAATTTCACTTTGTAAACAGAACCTCATGGAATCTCTTTGTAAATAGACCCCACTTGGCATCCTTTGTGTGGCTTACTGTGATCCCATTTTGCAGATAAACAAACAGGTTTAAAGAGGTTTGGAATTGAAAAACTGCTAAGTCATGGAACCAGAATTTATACCCGGGTCTGTCTGATTGCAGAGACTCACTGTTTGCATTAGAATTGTGTAGTCCCTTTCTATTTCTTTGCAACTTGGTCACGTTGGAAAAACGACTGTTAAAGAATCACCTTGGCCATACAGGGTGGCTCATGTCTGTAATCTCAGCACCTTAAGAAGCTGAGGCAGGAAGATTGCTTGAGCCCAGGAGATTAAGACCAGCCTGGGCAACATAGCGAGACCCCTGTCTCTCTTCACACATACACACATACAATTAGCTGGGCGTGGTGGCATGCACCTGTGGTCCCAACTACTCAGGAGGCTGAGGTGGGAGGCTCGCTCAGGCCCAGACTGCCCCTCTGCACTCCAGTCTGGGTGACAGAACAAGACCCTGTCCCTCAAAAAAAAAAAAAGAATTGCCTTGACTTTGATAATGACTCTTGCCAGTCTTCTTTCTCTCACCCACCCAAGCTCATCCCCCACAGAAAGACTGCTCTTTAATTATAAGTGAGTGGCTTGTGGGGGACAAAAGCATGGCCCCCACTTTTAAGGAGGAAGTGGGCTCTGTGAAAGTGGGGAGAGGACAGGGGACACACAAGGGAAAAAAGGCCCTGCTTCCCCCTACCCCCAGATTCCTTTTTTAAAAAATGGTTTTATTGAGGTATAATTGACATAAAAAAGACACGTTTAAAATGTACAATTTGACAAGTTTTGACATATTTAAACACCCATGGAACCACCACTACAATCTAGGTAATTAACATATGGATTGTCACCCCCTGATACTGCTTTGTAATCATTCCTTCTCACCTGCTTCCTTCCTCACTCCATCTCCTGGCAACTGTTCATCTGCTTTTCATCACTAAAGACTAGTTTGCATTTTCCAGAATTTTTTAATAATTGAGCTCATACAGCACATATTCTGTTTTGTCTTATTCTTTCATCCAGCATAAGTATTTTGTGATTCATCTTAGTGTGCATCAATAACCAATTCCTTTTCATTGCTGTGTAGTATTCCACTATATGGATATACCAAATGTTTATCCATTCACCTGTTGATGACATTTGAGGTTTTTGCAGTTTTTGGTTATTACAAATAAAACATCTATGAACATTCATATATAAGTTTTTGTATTAACATGTTTTTATTTCTCCCCACCCCTCCCCATGTTTTTATTTCTTTTGTTCAAATATCTAGGAGTAGAATGGCAGGATCATATATTAAGTGTTTTTTTTTTGTTTTTTATTTTAGAAATTGCCAAACTGTTTTTCAAACTGGTTCTGCCATTATATATGCCCATCAGTGTGTGAGAGTTTGCTTGTTCCAAATTTTTTTATTTTATTTTATTTTTTGAGTCTCACTCTGTTACCCAGGCTGGATTATAGTGGCCTGATCTGGGCTCACTGAACCTCCACCTCCTGGGTTTAAGTAAATCTCCTGCCTCAGCCTCCTGAGTTGCTGGGACTACAGACACCTGCCACCATGCTCAGCTAATTTTTGTATTTTTAGTAGAGACAGGGTTTCACCATATTGGCCAGGCTGGTCTCAAACTCCAGACCTTGTGATCTGCCTGCCTCAGCCTCCCAAAGTGCTGGGATTACAGGCGTAAGCCACTGTGCCCAGCCTTGTTCCACATTCTTGCCAACATTTGATGTGGTCAGCCCTTCAAATTTAGATATCCTGATGCATATGTGACTTTAACTTGCATCTTCTGATGACTGATAACCTTAAGCATCTTTTCATGTGTTTATTTGCCATTTGTATATCTTCTTTGCTAAAATATCTGTTCAAGTCTTTTGCCCATTTAAAAAATTGTGTTCTTTGTATAGAGTTTTGAAAGGTCTTTGTTCTAGATATGTATCCTTTTTTTTTTTAAATCTGTGGTTTTCTTTTAAATTGTCTTAAGTCTTATGATCACACACAATTTTAAAATTTGTGCATATATATCTCCTCTACTTTAATCCTTTTAAGTCGGCAAAACCACCATTCTCAATCACAGATACACAGTAGCTCCATGGTTTCATGTTTCTGAATGGCTGTTTAAAGATAATCCTAACTTACAACTCAGTTTGACTTAGATTATAAAGAATTCAAGAGTGAAGCTTAACTTGCTACATTTTAAAAGCATGTGACCTTATAACATATGAAGTGTTAAAAAAACTTTGATATTACACATAAAGCACACTAAAATGCCTTTCAATAAGCAAAAGGAACCATTTTTAAAACAGGAAATTCTAATTAGATTGGCATCGTTAAGGCCAAAAATATAAAGTAGATATTGTTACTTATTTAGCTTCAACCCTTGCCTTTAAGAGGCAAAGGAACACAAAACACAGGGCAATCTTGCTTGGTTCTGAGACAGTGAAGGAGTTTCTCCAGTATTTAAATATGTTCACATAACCAGTTACATGAATCTAAATATAAAACCATGTGCAGTAAGTTTTCAGATGGCACTCGCCCTCGTTGTGAAACCTGGACATTACTAGCGAAGTCTAATCACATCTTTAGAAGGGGTAAACAGTGATAGCGTTTACTGAATTGGAATTACTATTAACATTCAAAAAACTGAACATATCCATTTAATCACAAGCCAGTCTTAGTTCTACATCAGGACTGCCCACCTAAATATTCTGTACGTCATTCATGATCTAAATTCTGGTTATGAGATTTATTAAAGTATGGTACACATAAAAAAGTCATGAGACATTTCTGTTTTGTAATAAATAAGGCAGTGGCCAATTACTATTCATTAGTAGCTTTTTTGAGATAAGCTATTAAGTCTGCCCTTTCTGCCTTCTTCTTAATGCCAGCAAAGATCATTTTTGTTCCGGGGATGTACTTCTTGGGATTCTCCAAATACTCCATCAGGGTATCCTCTCCCCAGGTGATGCCTTTGTCCTTATTGGCATCTGTGTAAGAGAATCCAATAGCCTGACCTGTCCTCTGCCCAAAGAGAGCATGGAGATTAGCCCCAGTCTTGTGCTTGCCTCTGTTTTCCATGGTGTGCCACTGGGCACACTTCTGAGCAAAAATCTTGTCTTTCTCAACATCACCCATATTTAATTCTCTTTTTCGTCATTGGCACAATGAAGGTTCCCACTCCTAAGCTGGACGTCCCACTCTCTAGATCCATATCCTTGATCAGATACATGATCACAAATATTTTTTCCCAGTATGTGCCTTTTCACTTTCTTAAAAGACTTTCAGGCCGGGCGAGGTGGCTCATGCCTGTAATCCCAGCACTTTGGGAGGCTGAGGCTGGCGGATCATGAGGTCAGCAGTTTGAGATCAGCTTGACTAATATGGTGAAACCCTGTCTCTACTAAAAATACAAAAATTAGCTGGGCGTGGTGGCACATACCTGTAATCCCAGCTACTCAGGAGGCTGAAGCAGGAGAATCGCTTGAACCCGGGAGGCAGAGATTGCAGTGAGCAGAGATGGTGCCACTTCACTCCAGCCTGGGCGACAGAGCGAGACTCTGTCTCAAAAAAAACAAAAAACAAAAGACTTTCAAAGACCAGAAATTTTAAACTTTGACGAATTCCAACATCATATTTTATGGATTATGCTTTTAATGTCTTGTCTAAAAAATCTTTGCTGAACCCAAGATCACAAAAGTTGTTGACTTATGCATTCTTTTGAGGTTTTAGAGATTTAGATTTAACATTTCATTCTACGATTCATTTTGAGTTTGTTTTTGTATATGGTGTAAGGTATAGGTCAAAATTCAACTTTTTCCATATGGATATTTAGTTATTCCAGCAGCATTTATTGAAAAGACTGGGCCAGGCGCGGTGGCTCACACCTGTAATCCCAGCACTTTGGGAGGCCGAGGTGGGTGGATCATGAGGTCAAGAGATCGAGACCATCCTGGTCAACATGGTGAAACCCCGTCTCTACTAAAAATACAAAAAGTTAGCTGGGCACAGTGGCGCGTGCCTGTAATCCCAGCTACTCGGGAGGCTGAGGCAGGAGAATTGCCTGAACCCAGGAGGCGGAGGTTGCCGTGAGCCGAGATCGCGCCATTGCACTCCAGCCTGGGTAACAAGAGCAAAACTCCGCCTCAAAAAAAAAAAAAGAAAAGACTGTACTCTTTCTGCTGAATTGCCTTTGCATCTTTTTCAAAAATCAGTTGATCATGTGTGTGGGTCTATTTCTGGATTCCGTATTCTATTCCGCTAATTTATTTGTCTATATTGATGCCAATATGGCACCATTTTGATTACTGTAGCTTTATGATGAGCCATGAGATCAGGCTGTGTTCGTCCTCCAACTTGGTTCTAAAAGACTCCTCCAACCTTCCCTCTCCTCAAAAAACAAAGCTAGAGTTGATGTAAAGAGCTCTGGTCCTTCTTTGCTTGGACATTGATTAGAGAGATTTTTTTAGGACCAGTCTTCCTCCAACCTCAACCAACTCTGCTAAGCTCCATCGGCTGTTCTGGAGACTCCGAAAACCCTGAGTTCTTGCCATACCATAGTCTCCGTCTCTCTGAGACTTGTGCTGTGACTTGTGCCTTGAGGCCAAGGTTCAGTTTCCAAGGAAAAGAAGACAAGCATACAGTGATCGCAAGAGGGGCCCAGGAGGTAGCCTAGCACATGTCTGCCCTGCTCTGTGTTGGAATGTAGGAAATGGGCTCAATGAGAATCTCTCCTGTGGAGTAAAGATGTGAGATAAAGACAGAATGGAGGCCAGATGGCCATTTCTGAGAGGAAGCAGGGTAGCCTGGTTCTATCCTAAACGTGCTTTGGTTCCCATCCCTTTCTCCCCAAATCTGCCCTTTGCCCAGAGGCGTCTGTTAAAGCCACCACCATACTTTTGTTGTACAAGCCAGAGTCATCATGGACACTTCCTACTCCTTCACTCCCATCACCAAGTTGGTCCCCAGGTGCCTGCCGTCACTTCCACCTTCTAACTTTCTCCCCAACTCATCCTCCTCTCTGTCTCCTTGGTAACCACCTGGCCTATCGGCTATTATCTTGCCCATGAACAGCTTCGATGGCACCAACTGGTCTCTCAGCTTCCTCTCTGTTTACCACAGGGCTCCCAGAGGAAATTTTTTTAATTAAACTTTTTATTTTGAGATAATCGTAGATTCTCATGCAGTTGTGAGAAATGATACACAGAGCTCCCATGCACCCTTCACCCTGTTTGCCTCAATAGTAATGTCTTGCAAAACTGTAGTATAATATCACTACCAGGATATCCACATTGATCAAATAAAAAACAGTCCTGGAGTCACATGGGTCCTTTGTTGTATTAGTTTCCTAGGGTTGCTGTAAGAAATGACCGTAAACGTGGTGGCTTAAAAAATAGACATTTGGCTGGGTGCGATGGCTCTTGCCTGTAATCCCAGCACTTTGGGAGGCTGAGGCAGGCAGATCACCTGAGGCTGGGAGTTTGAGACCAGCCTGATCAACATGGGGAAACCCCATCTCTACTAAAAATACAAAATTAGCTGGGCATGGTGGCAGATGTCTGTGATCCTAGCTACTCAGGAGGCTGAGGCAGAATTGCTTGAATCCGGAAGGTGGAGTTTGTGGTAAGCTGAGATCATGCCATTGCACTCCAGCCTGAGCAACAAGAGCAAACTTCTGTCTTTAAAAAAAAAAAGACATTTATTCTCACCATTTTGGAGGCCAGAAGTCTGCAATCAAAGTGTTAACAGGGCCATCCTCTCTCTGAAGGTTCCAGGGGAGAACCTTTCCTGCCTCTTCCAGCTTTGGGTGGCTCCCGGAATTCCCTGGTTCGTACCAGCATAACTCCAATTTCTGCCGGCACCTTCACCTCCTTTCTTCTCCATGTCTCTCTGTGTATGTTCCCTTCTCTTTCTATTAGGACATCAGTCATTGGATTTAGGGCTCATCTTAATTTGGAATGATTTCATCTTGAGATCCTTGTGTTAATTACATCTGCAAGCAAGGTCATATTCAGAGGTTCTGGGTGGACATGAATTTTGGGAGGATTCAACCCACGACACTGGTATAGTAGTTGGCCCAGGCTGCCATAACAAAATACCACAGACTGAGTGTCTCAAGCAACAGAAATTTATTTCTCATGGTTCTGGAGGCCGGAAGTTCAAGATCAAGTTGCTGGCTAATCCAGTTCCTGGTGAGGACCCTCTTTCTGCTTGCGAATGGCCACCTTCTCGCTGTGTTCTAATATGATGGAGAGAGAGAACGCTGGTGTCTCTTCCTCTTTTAGTGGAGGCACTAGCCCTATTGGATTAGGGCCCCACTATTATGATCCCTTTTAACCTCTGTCATCTATTCACAGACCCTATCTCCAATAAAGTCATATTGGGGGTTAGGGCTTCAGCATATGAATTTCGGGGGAAGGGGGCACAAGCATTCAGTTCATAAAAACTCATGCTGCCCTTTTATAGCCAAACTCTTCTCCTTCCATCTCACCCCAACTTTGACCCCTGACAACCATTAATCTGTTCTCCACTTCTGTAATTTTATCACTTCAAGAATGTTATATAAATGGAATCATATAGTATGGAATCTTTAGGGATTGGCTTTTTTAACTCAGCATAATTCCCAGAGGGGTCTTTTAAAGATGCAAACCTGAGCAGGTCATACCTCTGCTTCCAACCCTTTATTGCCCCTTGCTGTCTCTCTGCCTGGACCACACCTCCTCACTCAGCCCCTCACTCTTCCTCCTCCAGTCTCAAGTTGTGCCACCAAGGCTTCCTCTAGACATGCTGAAGACTGCTGTCTTGTCCTCTCCCTTTCTATGCCTATAGTATTGGTAAATAGTTAATCAGTGTTCTTACTTTCCAGGAGGGAACCTATCTTTCTTGCTCACATTTTAATTCTTAGAGTGAATGCTTGGCATATAGAAGACATTTAATGAATGTGTGAATGAATGAATGAATCAATAATGTAAGGTATTTGCATAGAAAATTATTCCTAGGAGGTGCTCATGGTATGGCTAATGGAAGGATAGAAGGAAAGAAGGAAAGAAGAGAAAGAAAGGGAGGGAGGGAGAGATGGAGGGAAAGAGAAAGGAAGGCATCTCCTGTATTCTGTAGCTTTAGAAACTCTGAGACTCAGAATAATGATATGGCCACAGAGATGCCACTCAAGCTGCCCTCTGTGACCTTTCCGTGAACTCACCACAGAACGTTCTGTTGGACAGCATTAATCTGGAAGGAATCACTCCTCTCCCATGCTCAGTCCACATGCTTGATGGAGTTGACTACCTATAAAGATGCGTGGATGAACATGTGACCTGCAACTTGCCAACTGGGCTATTGCATATAACTCAAGTCACAGTCAGAACAAACATTGAGACTTTTGCTTACATGACCACAAAAAGATATTCTCTTTCCAGTGATGTAAACTGAGGAGTGGGGGGTGGGGGTGGAGGAATTTAGACTGGAGGTATTGGTAGCCATTTTGTTCTGATTCAGAACCGGAGAATGAAGCCGAGAAAGATGGAGCTGGGTCTCGATGATACTTCTCAAATCTTTAGACTGAAACTGTGCCTGAGGAGAGAGATTTGGATTCAGTGCACCAAATAAATTCCTTTTTTGTTGAAGACTTTTTTTTCTTACTTGCATGGAAAGAACACTGATTAAACACAGGGTACCCATTGCCGGTCACTTCCTCTTTACCCTCAGGGTCCCTGTCTGAGAAGAGAGAAGGTGGAAATAAGTAGCTCACTTTAGTTCTTCAAACATATATTGAGTGCACATTGGCAGGTGTTTGTGCTTTGTACAGAATGGTGACTTCGATCCAGTCCTTTCCCTGCAAGAATTCATCAGTATAAACCTAAAAGTAATATGCTATGAGAAGTGCTTATGATTGACGTGGACAAAATGCTCTGAAACCACAGAGGCATGATTCATTCAGCCTTGGAGAAGACTTTACTGAGAAGGTCTCATGAAGCCTGGGTTTTAAAAAATGACCCTGTAGGGTTTTGCTGAACAGAAAACTCAGGGGAAGGCATTTTAGTTAAGAGGAAAGTATGAGCAAAACTCCAAATTAAGAAAGCTTGCGATGTGCTTGTAAAATAGTAGTTCATTAGTCTCAGAGCTCCCGTTGTAAGGGTAGAAAGGATGGGTGACAGCTTAGGAGAGGCTGGTGGGGCCTGGGTGCCACGGCCAGGCTTAAATGCCATGCTGGGG